ATCTCTGATTGTTAAAGCCAAATCCTGCTGAGGGAAATTTTTCACATTTGACCCTTGAACTTTTTTTTTTTCTTTCTCAGCTGTCTCTAGGGCCGCAGTGACTTATTATTCATTACAAGTACGTTTGTACATAAGCACCACTATCGGTTTGCATGTGTTTAGAAAGCTAACTCTCAATTACTGAAGTAGTGCACTAGTCTGGAGGTTATATGAGCCTCCTGTGGCCTGCCTTTTGGCCACTTCATTCTCCACAGAGCATCACTCAGAGTGTGGAAAGATCAAGTATAAACTGTGAAAGAAAGATGATTTCCTGCAGCTGATAAAAATCTGATAGAAATGAAAATTATTAATTTCAGTGTACTTTTGAATTTTCTAAGGCTAGAAATGAACTTGATGGTGTTAAAAGGGGCTGATTTCCTTTTATACTTTGTAAATGTTTGCAAATGAGCAATAAAAAGAAGGCATGATGAGGGCTAGTAAAATTTAAGAGTGCTATGTTTCCGGTATTGAAAGTGAGTTGGTAAATTGTTATCAGATGTTTACTTTAGCGAGAGAGAAAATGTTCAGTTGTCCACTTCTGGACAGGCACTTAGGAGGAAGGCCTCAATTATTCTTTGGACTTCAGACCATAATGCCATTTAAATGACATAACGTATGTAGTATTATCCATCAATAATTGTAACTGATCCCTGATTTTACTAAGGTAACTACAAATAGATCTATTCTCTTGGCAAAGCATCAAGATAGATTTAGCATAATATACTAGCTTGTTCAACAACCTGTTTTAAGTAAAAAGTTAGCATCCCTAAAATGTTTGTAGACATTTATGAGAGGCATAGTTTTCCTTCTTTTCTTTTTTAATTTTTAAATTGACATATAATATTTATACCTGCTTATGAGATACAGTACAATAATTTGATATGTGTATAAAATGTGTAAAGATCAAATCAAACTAATCAGCACTTCTATCTCAAAACTTTGTCATTTCTATGTGGTAGAAACCTTTGGAGTCATCTATTGATTTTGATATACATCAGAAGTTGTACACTATACTGGAGTAATGATAGCAAGATATCTATACTTTCAGGTTTGTTGCAGCACTGTTCACAATTCCAAGATACTAAATCAGTCAAGGTGCCCATCAACAGATGAATGAATAAAGAGAGGGTGAATTTTATTGAATTGCTTTACTATTCAAGGTTCTACAGAATTCTTTAAGACCAATATATGGTTGGTCCTAAACTTTTACTTTTTCTTTCTTTCTTTTTTTTTTTTTTTTGTACTAGGGATCAAATTCATCCCCTTGCACTCGCCAGGCAGGTGTTTGTACCACTGAGCTAAATGTCCAGCCTATATACTTTTACTTTTATAGGATTACAACTACTGTCTCCCTATTGTTAATTATAGTACAGTGATATATAAGCAGTTAAGACCACTAAAAGGATATTTTAGTTTAGTAGTTTAGAATAGTTTAGTAGTAATGTATAAAGTTTAGTTTAGAATAGTTTAGTAATGTATAATGTTTAGTTTAGAATAGTTTAGTAGTAATGTATAAAGCCAAACTTTTTAAACTTAGGAAATCGCACTAAAAATATTAAATTTGCACCAACAGATTTTTGTCTAATTTCTTTATTGTAGAAATTGGAATGTTTTCATTTTTGGAATCCTCTAGTATAGTGATCTTCTCTGTAAATGGCTAGACAGTAAATATTTTAGCCTGTGTAGAGCAAGGGACAAAGTTGAGAAAATTATATAGGTCCCATACACCAAGAAAGAAAATGAATATCCACAATTTCTTATGATAGAGGTCTACTAAAGAGCACAGTGTAATCTGAACAGACATTAAAATAACTTCATATAATTTTCATGTGTTACTAAGTATAATTGTTCTTGTAATGTTTTCCAACCATTTAAAATTATAAAAACGAGGTCATTGGCCATACAAAAACAGGAGCAGGAAGAATTTGACCAGGGGCCCCTGGTTTGTGGATCTTTATTCTGGTAGCTTCTTTACCAGTACATAGTCTGTAATCCCCAATCCACAAATGATTGTCATGGGGCCCTTGGCCTTGACATCAGTACAAAACATTTCATGCATACACAAGTTCTTCTGAAGGTAAACACTGCAAGCTTTCGTCAGACTCAAAATTGGGAGGTACTGTCAGGGACTATTTCATTAATTTTCTTGAGGTATTTTTTGAGTTCCTAATAGTTCCTAGACACTGTGCTGTTCACTGGGAACACATGGAAATTCCTATCACAGGAAATAATACTAGTAGAGACTGAGGGGGAAGAATTGTCAGGTAACTGTCATATTCATAAAATCTGTTGTCTCCACCATTCTTGTTTTATCTCTGGTTTTGGGAGGAAAAAACTTCTTACATTTTCAAGTATTTAGTAAATAATTTAGGTTCACATTTAAATAATTAAAATATATTTAAGTGTCCAGGCTGTATTATGCTATAAAGAAAAATCAGATTCAATGTATTAAGAACCTTGTTTTCTTAGGGCCAGTGTGTACTACAGTGGTAGAGCCTTGGATTAGCAGGCACAAGGCCCTAGGTTCAATCCTCAGCAACCCCCCCCCCCCAAAAAAAAAAAAACTTTTTCTTTAAAATTAGGATTAGACTACAGATAGATCCATGTTAGCACAACTAACGAGAAGGGTGAAATATTTAGATAAAGGCAAGATTAAGTTGCTTATTAAAGCTCAATGTGTGAATTTGTGGACTGCTTGACTTAACCTGTAGCTGTTAGTCAAAGTCATGAATTCAAGCCCTTCAATGCTTGAATTCATGAAATGTAGTAGTTACCCTAGGTCAGAGGTGGTGTTGAGCAAACAGAAATGGCTATTTGAAAATAAATGAGGAGCTCAGGAGTTCCTGCCTCTGCCCCAGAGCTGTGAATGGAAGAACTTGCTTCTTCTCAATAAATGTTTATAATATGAAATTTATCCCCAAGGAAGAAATAGACATAAAATCTATGATACTAATTTTAAAATGTAAAGATAGCACAGTAGAGTTTATGTTGAAATCTTTAAAAGATTAAACATAACTCCTTAGATTTTGTATGTAGACTGCTTATTTACAGACTCTTTTTGTGTCTGCTTAGAGCCTATAACAAACCTAAGTAAGTTAAAATATATCCCAAAGAAAGCATAAATTAACCAGGAGAATTTTCGTGGTAAGTTGCCCCCCAAAAAAGAAGGGAAAAAATTATAGAATGTATTTAGAATACCATAAAAAAGCATAAAAAAGATTTACTTTAGACCTAAATATTAATTGAATTTTAATTTAATAAATATTAATTTTTTGATGTTTAATAGCTTTTTAATCTGGAAAATCCACTCACTTCCTAGTCTTTGTTACAGTTCAATAGTTAATAGTTATACTAATGGTTCTTTACCAGGTTTGTAAAGGCAAAGCGAAAAGTATCCAGGAGAATGGGATGGCAGCTTTAGAGAAAAAGTGACCATAAAAGCCCAACAGAAAACAAAGACTATTTAGTGGTTAAAATAAGTTTTTCCCTTCAGAGATTCTTGTTTATTTAGATGTGATTACGAATCACTGAATTAGTACAGTCTGCCTTGTACAGTCTGCCTTGCTGAAGCATGCCCGGGTGGTTATTTCCAAGACTTTTTTTTTTTCTTGTTAAATAAAATAATGTCACATCAGTTAATTCCTGGAGCTTCGTATCTCATTTAATGAGAAGGTCCTTGTAGCCTTTTTTATATCACAAGACCTGATTGGTCAGAGTCAGCCTTAGGCTATTTGTCCTAGAACCTTAAAGCGCCCCCTCCAACCCATGATTCCTGGCACCTTAAGTTGCCCTTTTCCTCTAAGCTCTTGGCCAATGTGTCTCCTTGGGTCACCTTGATGACTCGTACCTGTTCTTTGGAGACAGATTTTTCCAGTGCTTCTTAATGTGCCAATCAGATAATTTGATACATTTACCTAAGATAGCATACTAATGGGAGAGTACTTCCATGTGAACCAAAAGTAGCTTATGACAGGGGCTTTCTGAGAAATGCTGTGCTGTTGAAATTTCAAGGACAGTGTGGCAGGGAGAGACTCTGTTGCCCATCTATACTCTACATATAAAAGGCACTGTACATGCCCAACTCTGCAGCCATGACTTTTAAAGATGTAAAAGCTAATAACTATTGTGCATTTCTAAGGTTTTTCTTTGTAGTTATGTTCTAGTTTATGTACCATATAATCCTGTTATCTCTTCTTGCCTAACCGGGATTCTTGTAGCATTTCTTTGGCTTCCTTTTTAATTGCATCATCTGACCCACTAGATAAAGACCAGGTTAGGCAAGTCATATTCATCTGTGAAACAGGGCCTCTATTTTAAAAATAACAAAATACAACATCCATTCCAATCTCATTTTAGGTAGATGGCAAGACGTTGTTAAAGCATATATTTTTTCCTAAGATATGCTTTTCTTTTTCAACTCCTAGCTGTCTTCCATAAATGTTGGTAGGTCAAGAAAAGAAACAAGGCCAGTGTCCAGTAGTTGGAAAGGTGTATCTACTGTAGGACAGGCAGTCTTAGAATTAAGCAATACTGACGGAGAAAGGGTAGAAGGAAGGAGGGCTTTTGGAGTACCTGAAGTCTACCTGCAGAGGTCATAGCTATATGAGGAAACAGGAGATCATATATGTGCTGTCACTAGTGGTAGTTTTTAGGATAAAAGAAAAAGGAATGTACTAAAGAAAATACATTAGGAGCAGTGAACTTTAATTTGGCAACTTCATGACTGTTAAAATTGTATCACTTCCTTTATCAGCTTACCAATAAACACTTCTTGAAGAGATTTGTTTGTTTATAAATAACTTCTATGTGGGAATAAATAAGAAACTAAAAATAAGTCAATACAAAGAAGCAATTTTGATATGGCTTAGGAAATTCTGATATTTCTAAAAGAATGCTTTCTTGTGTAATAAGAATCTATTCATCTCTAACATCTTTTTTTCTCTTCTCTTTTGAACATACAGTCGGTTCCCTTGGCTCCAAATAATCCTCCTGTGGCTTTCAGTCCATATGTGTCTCATCCTGGCATGAACCTGATTCCAGCTGAACTTTTACCAAATACACCTGTTCTGATTTCGGGAAATCCTCCTCTCACAATGCCAGTGGTTCCTGGTCCAAGGCCGATACGTTCAGATAGGCTGGAGGTATTTGTGAGAAAATAGATAAATATTTCTAAGATGGATATTAACTTTATGCATTAAGTAACATTTCTGGAATGCAGTGTGTTGAATGTTTTAAATAAATTGGTCAAGGTTTTAGCTTAGGGAGTATAACTTTAGAAAACTGTTAAACATTTGACTACTGCAGTTAGACCTTGTTATGAAGCATCAATTCAGTTGCACAGTAGGTCCAACAATGCTTTAAGTCACAGAGCCACAGACCAGGCTATGAAAAAATAAATCTGGTTGGGAATGTTTCATGTACAGTGGTTCCAGCTCTGCGAGATGGGATTATCTTGTTAGTGAGTCTCTATTTGCTAGAGTTTGTTTTGTAAACTGGAACAAAATCAAATCTAATACTGTACAGTTATAGAATGTAAAGCTATATGAATGCAGAATGCAATCTCACAGTGTCTAAACTTCTTTATCTACTTTAAAAGTGATGTACTACATAATATCCCATAATACTTAAAGAATCTAAAGGAAATTTCCAACAGCTTTGTGATTTTTTAAGTCCTTTAGTTTTCTTTAATTGTCATTCGTTGTACATTGAAGCAAATAACTAATCGATTTCTTAGAAAGTCAGCTTCATTGGCAGCCTCTTAAATGCCTTGTAATGTATTTTAAGGGAATCTGATTGTACATGAAATTCAAGCATGGCTCACAATTTGGCTGTGGAAAAACACCAGTGCATTACTGTGTGATAAAAGACTTGTCTTGGCCTTTAAGAAAAACTAATTACACTTGAGGCTGGTATTAACTGGAGAATTAAAATTGGTTTTCAGTAACACTCCTAAGTACTTTTATATCAGTTGTAAAACTTTCCTTTGTGGAGAATGGAAATTATTTTTTCTAGAAATAGAAGTTGTTTACATGTCATAGTAAATATGGCTTTGTGTTACCCTTCATCTTTTTGGATTTTTCTGAAATAAGTGACAAAATACATATGATTGCTCTTAGAATTGCCAGTACAGTAAATAAAATCCAGTCACTTTGTGATGCATGTGTGTGTTTTCCTCTTTAAGGTGTGCCGTGAATTTCAGCGTGGAAATTGTACCCGTGGGGAGAGCGATTGCCGCTATGCTCACCCTACCGATGTTTCCATGATTGAAACAAGTGATAATACCGTGACCATCTGCATGGATTACATTAAAGGCCGCTGCTCCAGGGAGAAATGCAAGTACTTCCACCCTCCTCCCCACCTGCAAGCCAAACTCAAGGCTGCTCATCACCAGGCGAACAATTTAGCTGCTGCCGCAATGGTAAGACCTGCACACTTGGGCTCTCCGTGTTAGAGGAAATGATTGGTATGCCCTCCAGTTTGTCTGATGCTCTGTAACCATACTGTCAGACAGTCACAAGTGGATCTTAAGATGAACAGTCAAGTTTATAAGCTAGAAAAGATAGTACCTATTTGCTTTATTTACTAGGATTTTCTAAAGATATTTATTTAAAAGCATTACTAATGATCTTAGCCTACTGTGCTCTCTCCTGTTTTCAGAGAGAGGATAAATTATATGAAAATTATCTTTGAGTGGTTGTTATAATCTAAGTATTCTTAATATCTGAGAAAAACAGAAAGTTGCCTCTCTGTTGTATGAGTCACTTCCATAGGTACACTTCACTGCTAAAATCCTTAATGCCTTTTGAAAATGGAGCACTTGAAAGCTGGTATATTATGTAGGGCCTAATTTCCCAAAGGTTGAGGATACCTTTCCTTTCTGGAGGCATTATGCCAACAGAAGGGAGGACAAAAGGCCAAAGCCTGCTGAAGCTGGGAGTTGGGGACATTTCTACAGGACAAGTGAAGGGGGCCTAGCTTTGATTTTCCCTGGCAAGTCAGATTTGGGTAAAAGTTAATTGTGCTTAGTAACATTAAAAGACAGGATGTAGGAAAAATATTTGTGAAACACTGCACTTTGAAAGGTTGACAAATGGAAATTAGGATTACTCGAGTGTGTCTCACCTGATGTTCTGTGTACCACTGATTTCTTTTGCTATCTGGAATAGTGCTCAAGTAATAGGGTCTAACAATTCAATAAGGGACAAAACCTTAAAGAAAACTTATGTGTGCTGGCTCTGAAGAAAGTACCTATACTATCCCAGAAGTCCAAAGTGCAGTGTGATGCTGGGGATGGTGGCACACCTTTGTAATCCCAGCACTTGAGAAGCTGAGACCAAAGTATCTCCACAAGTTCTAGGCTGCATAGTGAGTTCAAGCCCAGGCTGAACTGCATAGTGAGACCTTGTCTAAGAAAAAAATGAAGAAGATGCAGTATGAATACAAACTCCTCATTTGCAAATATTGTTCAGACTCCTATGACTGATATCTTTTACAAAAAAAAATATATCGCTTTTCAAATATCTTTATTTGGAAGATTTTTCTCAGACTGAGTTGAAACTTGCAGCTGGAACTTTACAGAACATGCCAGACTCTATCCCATATCTTGTGTGATAAATGCAGTGAATGTCTAAATCAAAAAAATAATTACATTACAGCAGAAGACACGTTGCCATTAATACTCTTTCAGAATATTTCACCTTGCTTTAAATACATTTATTCCATCACTCTTGCCACTTTCTAAAACAGTTCTCAAAGTCCTCCTTTGTGAATATCTTTTCATGGCTGCCTTGATGTCCTGAATCAACTTAAATTTTTTATGGAAATTTCTGTGAAATGAAACCATGATGGTCTGTCCTCATCTACCTTATTCACCAGATCTGTCTCCTTGGGACTTGTGGCTGTTCCTCAAAGTCAAAATAACCGTGCAAGGTAAATGTTTTGGATTGATTCGGGATATCGAGGCAGCCATTATAGTACAACGAAAGACATTCACAAAAGTGGACTTCCAGAACCATTTCAGAAAGTGGGAAGAACCATGGGATTAATGTGTTCAAAGTGAGGAAGGACATTTTGAGGGAGAAATAATGGCACAGTGGTCTTTTAATGTAATAAACCTTAACATTTTAAACAATATTCAGCATATTTCTCCACCACTCCACATGTAAGAGTGACTTCTTATGTCTCCTCTCCAAGGCAAATACCCCGAATTTCTCCACCTTTTCCTCATAGACTGTGGTACACTTGCAGAACTGAAGTCATTACTTTGTGAAGGGTCTTAGGATCAAATAAAACAAACTTAGTTTCTCTTTGAGTGGGTGACATGATCTGTTAATGGATGTTTAAAAAGACTTCACAAAATCTTTTTGTCTTAAATCTTTCAGAATGGAGGACTTGTAAGGTATCAAAATAGCACATTATGTAGGATGTTCAATGCAAAGTTAAAGCTTTTGATTTTTTTAAGAGACAGGGTTTCACTCTTTTGACCAGGCTGACCCTTACCTCCTGGCTCAAGTGCCTCAGTCTACCAAGTAGCTGAAACTACAGACATGTGTACAATGTCCAGCTAACCATTCAATTTTTTGATTTCTTATCTTGATTTCTAAAAGAGTATGAACCTATTAAAGGAGCAGAATGCAGTTTTTCTACCCAAAAAGAACAATACATGGAATTTAAAAAGAATGACTTACTTATGCCTTTATGCCACACTCAGGAATGGGGTCCTCATATATATCTGATAGTTTGGTTGTGTTTGGTAGAAGGCATAAATTGTTTAACAGCCTCAAGTTTCCATTTAGGGAGCTAAACATTGTATGCCTTCAATTGTTACTTGCAAATGCCTTCCTGAGTAACTAAACACAGTGAAGTCTTAGTGATAAGGTCAAATTGGCCCAGAGGAATTTATAGATAAGACTAAACCAAGGAGGCCTTCATGAAGAAGTTTATACATATACATATATATATATATATATAGGAATTCAGAGTAGAAATGCTTTGGAAAGGGAGCATTTTCACCTTGTGTGCAGGTATAGCTCAGTTGAGAGCAGCTTGTATGCATTAACACATTCCCACTGGCTCAAACCCCCAGTGGTTCAAGCCACCTGGTAGTGAAATGTATGAATTATATTTTAAAAAGAGTAGAAGATTGGGATTTACTTTATCTAAATTCAAGAGTTAGTGATGGGATGGGGCCACCAAGGCCTTGTCAATGTTGATTAGAGAAATATTTAATAATAGTATCCACATGGCAAGCACTGGGCACTGACATCTCAAGGTAGACCCTAACAGTAAAGAAGTAGTACTGCCTTAACCAAATTCAGCAGGTGAATGTCCATCTAGGCCTTGTCCCAGTTTGTAGTTCACCAGACAGCTTTGGTTCTGACTTTCTACCACTCGACTTTCTAGAGAAAGAGGCACCTTTCACTTACACCACAGGGAAATCTTTTCTTCCTACTGTACTAGGCATTGAACTCAGGACCTTCGCACTGAGCTGCATCCCCAAGTCATTCATTCATTCATTCATTCATTCATTCATGTTTTGAGACAGTCTTGCTAAATCACTGAATTCCTTAGACTGAGCTAAAACTTTTGATCGTCCTGCTTCAGCCTTTCAAAGTGCTACAATTACAGTCATATGTCATCCACATCTGGCTCCCAAGGGAAATCTTTTAAATAAGCAAATAGTTTCCCATCCTACCCTCTTATAGTCTTCAGTATGTCCATTTCCTCATATTGGTAATAAAACGCATAAAACATTATAAATTGTATTTTACAAATAGTGATTTTAGTCATGGCCTTTGTTGTCTGGTCTTCCCAGATAAATTGAGAAATTGTAGATATACAAAACTACTGCTTTAATTTTTATTTCATTATTTAAGAGATAAAAATAAACCTAATATAGAAAGTAAACCTCTTATACTTTGTCCATTGACAGTGGAGTTCCCAAAAGAAAATATAGTTTTAGTCTTTTGTTTTCATTAGGAATAAGGAGGTTATGGCACACCCAGCACAAGTGTTCCTGTCTCCTTAAGAATTTGCCACACAGCTAATTGTTGCTGAGACTTGCTTTTTAAAATAATGTTCAATTTGTTGAGGGGAAATAATGTAAAGTAATATTAAAATTCTCCAATGAATGTGATATAGGAGTAAGTATGAGTATTATGACTATGGTAGGATTTTGGAAGACCTCTAGGCATGAAAGAAGGGCTTAAAATGCTGATAGATTTAGAATAAAACCTTACAAAAACCTAACAAAGTAAATGGTGCATACTGAAATGCACAGCAAACCTGTAAAATCAGAACTGCCAAAATTTTGCTTAAACACCTGTGGCACCTGGGTGAGGTAATTGGAAGGGGAGGAAAGACTCACTGGCATTTATGTGTGAGTCAGGAAATACACAGTTGTTGGATTAGAGCCTGAGGTCTTTGAATACATTAAATTTTGCCTCATAGGGCTATCGTATAAGACTGTAATCTACTAACATCTTTTGTATTATCTGCATTCCCTTTATTTCCTAGATCCACATTGGAACTTTAACTGAAAAATATCTTTCCTGCTATTTGGTTGCTTCTGATAATCTCATTTCTATAGATTAATAATGAGTATCAGTGATATGTCACTTGTAAGTTATTTATTTGCTATAATAGTTTTCTGTCACATCCAATCCAAGTGAGGTCAAAATTAGCAAGTTTGAAAAGTTTTTATCTTTGTATTTTTATTTCCTGCTTTCAAGAGACTACACTTAATCCCAGCCGTTGATTACTTAACCATGCAGCCATTTATTGGAAATCTTGCTCAATGGATACCTTTGCAAAGAATTCTCGGGCCGTATTTTAAATAACTGGTGCTTGCTAGGTTTGAGTACATTTGTTACTTTCTCTGGTACCAGCGAGTAACAACATCCCTCCCCACAGGCCCTACAGCCTGGTGCGTTTCAACTGATGCCAAAGAGACTGGGCCTTGAAAAGACCAATGGTGCCACCCCGTTCTATGGTCCTACTGTTTACCACTGCCAACAGGGTCTGGCTAACATGCAGCTGCCACAGCCGACATATATCCCTGCAGGTGAGAACATGGCTCTGGGCACCGTGAGTCAAAGGGGCTTGTGAATGCATACAGTGGAAGGCAGCTTCCAAGGGGCGTTTTTAATGGGGGCTTTTATAATGGGTCCACCCACATGTATTTTGATTAGAAATAAAATATGATAATTATATTTGAGCTGCTAGTAGCTAGAACAACTTAATTTTTCTATGAGAAAATTAAAGATGAAGGCATTAACATTTTTTTTCTTTCTAGTATTCTTATTTGTTTTGCTTTTAATGATTGACTCAGTTTGTTTAGTCTCAGCTAATTCCTGGACTCATGGGTTTTACTTACACAGGTGGTGGTCAGCTGTCAAAAAATAAATCTCGGTTTCAGTATTGCAAAACCAGTACTCCATATACTCCACATAGCTCTCATATACCAAAGGGAGTTATTATAAAACTACCTTTCAGTATTTACTAAATATAATATGATACCATTTGTTAGATAAAGATACTTTTAACCTCCCTTAAATCATTAATATAAAAATATAAATTTATGGCAGGCATATCTAATGTTACCTCCTATGTCAGTTATATTTAACAGCAAAACTATTAAGTTTTGCAGCAAATTGAGTAGAAAATACTAAGCTAGAATTTTTTTCAAGTAAGTATTAGACATGGGCAACAATAATGTTGCCCATTGGTTCACTACTTTAAGAATGATCATAAAATATCTTAGGAATAAATTGAAAGTACTAACTACTGGGAGTATAGTAGAGCTTGTTTTGCTTTGCTAGAATCCTGAGTATACCAGTTTGGCATTATTAAATGAGAATAACATCTGTTTCAAAATTTAATTTAGAAATCCCAGTTAATTATAACACATGCTAACTGTATAGTATTGTATACTAAAACCTGGAAAAATTGCTTGATTAAGAAATTAATCAGTCAATTGATTTTAAAAGTGTTTAGCTGTTTGACCACAGTAGTACTTTATAACAGAGTTTAAGTGGCACAAGTTTTACACATTCATATAATAGTTTCTGACAAGAAAAAGTGGAATTCTTTAGCACATTTTTATACTACCTATAAAAAGGAACCACTGAGAATTGATGATTTAGACTTTTCCCCAAAACTTATTGGAGGAAAATTATATAATGTCCAGAAAGTAAAAGGGAAAACCAGTAGTAACTGAAGCGACTATTTCTGGTACTTTTTTCCCTTTCAAAATTTGTGCTACTTTACCTGTGCTTCACCTACATCTCACTTGTATCATAGATATAGAATCAACTGAGTTGCCCAGGAAGCCTAACCAAGGTGGTTGAATGTGAAAAACAGTTACATTGCTCATTATAAGTTTTCTCAAGTTATTTTGTTTAGAAGTTAGATTTCTCTTTCTTTCTTTTATTTTTTTTTGCCACATTTGGCCAAAGCAAAAGCTAGATTTGTATGTAAAAATGTCTGAAAATTCTGCCTTCCGTTCATTTCAGCAAAATAAAAAACTTTCCTCTTAACGGAAAGCCTTGCCTTACGTTCATTGTCAAATCCTCAATTTCAGCAAGGTGAAGGAGGCAGTGGTAATAGATTCATACTCTAAATAAAAAAAAAAAAACAGGCACTAGACGTCATATCGTGGCACCTATTTTGAAAAGACTATGTGTGATAAATGTGTAATTTAACTGTAGTAATTTCCTTAAAGAAAAATTAAAGTTCATTTTTCTTATCAAGAATCCAAGAACTACTTTAATTAACTGGGTTTTGTGATCTTAAAGCTAATCTGTAATTATAAGCATGAGAGATTACTGGATTTGCATGTGCTGATTAATTGATATTACAAGGAAAATATCTTTCTAGTTAAAATTCATTTCTATCTGTAAAGCCTTAATAATAAAATCTCTCTTTTCTTTACTTTCCACGCTTTTCTGCATGCTGTACAGGGCCAATACTGTACATGACACCCGCTACAAGTTTTGGTAGGTTTTGCACAAAAATTCTCAACTTCTTCTAATCTGAAAAAATGTACTTTTCTGCTGTGGCTGTGAAGGACATGAGTGACTGATTTGATTGTATATATTTTCTGATTTAACGTTTCATATTGTGTTTTGTGTTCCACATCTTTATGGAATGAACACCATCCTACTTTCTCAAGTCCTTGTTGGTTGTCACTGTGGCCAAATACAGACCCTTTCATTTCCCTATTTCTGCCCTAAACTAGCAACTGAAATATTTTTAAATGTTTTTGTACATAGGCAAACTGAAAATTTAATTTTAAAACTTACAACTATTATTTTTAAAATTGTGAACTATTTTAGTGTGTAATTTATACAGTACAGTGAAAAAATTCTTTCTTCCAGAAGTTGTCTATGCTACCCAAACCAGCCAGCGTTCAAATGTTGAGAAAGAATGTTTTGAACAGAGCTGCAGCATGCTTGTGGTATTCTGGAATAAACTTCGTAGTGTTCTAAGATAAAGTTCCATCTACACAGAAACTAGGCTCAGCCAAAATCATTTCACAAATGGTGAAGTTATATGAGCTTTAACACAGAGATACTTTAGTTAGCCACCAACACAATATGGTAGCCATATCTAAGCTATTTTTATATCACTCCTACTGAAGAAGATGAGACAGCAAATGAGGAGTTCACAGCTCCTAGGGTTCTCTTGGGAACCAGGGACAGATAAGGAGACAATAGGTTTGTTCAAGGAAGGGAGGGATGATCGCACCCTATCAACCCCAGCATCCCATCAATCCAGTTCTTTCCATCCTTCTTGGGAGTTTGAAACAGCTTGACCCTCATCCAGTTGGTAGACTGGAGTAGCTACAGAGCTAGAAACGCACCAACAGGTCTATTGAGCTAAAACAGGTCAAAATGATGACCAATTAGAAGCAATAATCGCTAACATAACAAGATCTGAATCCTAACAATGGAAGCATGAGACCTTTGATACTGAGATATTAGCTATTCCCTACAGAAATAAACAACATTTCCATTGATACAAATAGGAACATCCTATGCATATCACTAGAAGAACAGGCTACTGCAAGTCTGAGAAATGTGTCTCTGTGTTCACATTTTGTGACCTTATTTCTTGGGAGTGCTGCCCTGTCCTTTCACTCTCAGAGCTTTGCTTAGGAATGCAAATCGCATGCTTGCATGATGGTGCTACTTCCTGTACAGTTGCTGCACTCTCAGAGGATGAACAGAAGTGTTTTTTAAATTGATACATCAGACAATAAAGGATAGCTGTAGGTAATATAAAACGGGATGAATGGAAGTGATAATGAAGAAGTTATGTTAAATACCATTTGGGATACATTTTTGGTTCCCATGATATTGCATATATTGATTTTCTTCCTTCTAATCATTAACTTCCTCAGTAAACTTTCAGAAAATCTGAATTCAATTGATGTAGACATGATAAATTATTGTATATGTATGCTTGCCATTCTCACATTGCCATTCGCACATTAATTCCCTGGTTAGCTTTCTGAAATGAGCTGGAAATTAGAAAAGCATCCAAAAGCTTTCAAAATAAAATGGAGACTAGAAAAAGCAAAGATAAAAAAACATCCTAATAGAGATTTTGCAGCTGCTAGCCATTTTAGCTCTAATATTTGCTGTCAGGGCAAGATTTATTATGAACTAGTCCACATATTTGATGTAGAGCCAATGATTCCAAGGAATTTGCTATAGGTACATGTAAAAATCTACATGTATACATCACTGTGTTCTTTATAGCTGTTCTCCTACCACATACCAATACAGCTACCTTTTTATTTTTGCCTGCAAATCAGGTGAGTATACATGAAACTACCCTTTTGCACCTGCGAAACTAGTGAGGGCACTTACGTGCATAAGTCAATGAAACCTAAACTCCAGTTTAATTCCCCAATTTCCTGTCTAGGGTGTAGCCCAGTTACTTGTCTGCTTACCTAGCTTCAGATAGCCCTGATTCCATTAGATCGTTTTATGTCCATTCATTATGACTGTTTCAGGAAATGTGGCCTTTTGAGTCAACTACACTGTGATTCTGCTCAAAAACTTGCTAAATGTTGAGAGTGGTTCTGTTTTTTCTAAATGGTAATTATAATTGGCTTTCCCATTTTCTCTTTTTAATTTTTTTCCTCTTCCATGCTGTGTTGCTTTGCACTGATTGTGATTGCATGTTGCACCCTGGTGTGTCCATCATGATGATGTCACATGGCTTGTTGTGTGATACCTGCCACGCCCCATTCCATCGCATATGTCCTGGTTGCATAAATGCTCCATCTTCCTGTGAGTTGCTTCCATGGTTTCCTACTGAAAGTGCCTATGATGCACGGTGCTCCACCTACCACTGTGCCTGCAGCAACACCACCTGCCACCAGCGTTCCCTACGTTGCACCACCTACAGGCAATCAGGTTTGGCCATTTATTTCACCTGTTGAGACCTAGATTACGAGGACACGTTGGAAAGGCACAGTATATGCTTTTTGGATTGGTGAGAGACATCAGTCTGTATACATATATGTTTCCTAAGCAACTGTCACATATATCAGTTTTTCTTGGTGTATACGTTCCAGAGTACTGTATGCACTTTTTATTTATCCTAAAGTTAATCAGAAGTTTACTCATTTTAGTCAATTATCAAATGTTCTTGATATCCTGTATCCATTATTAGTGCCACACCAATCCTCAAATGCATATACTGTACTAAATATTTATTATGTTCTTCATTGGTCAAGAGGAGAATTTATTTTACTTTACTGCCATTTTTGGTTATTGTGTTTAAGCTTTGACTTAGTACAGTTACCACCTTTACTTTCAGATCCACGAAAAGAAAGCAAGACATCACATTTCTTTCCAAGGCACAGATACCCTTATCATTACCAATTATTACATTAGAAATTCCCTTTTATGTAGACATTAGATATGCTTGTGTTCCTTTTTCATTTCCTATAGGTATTTCAGGCAGAGTCACATGGAAATTACAAGTTTTGGGGAGTCTTGAAATTGTAAGGCAATACATGCTGTAGTTACTAAATACTGTTAAGGCTGTACTGCCTCATTAAAGTTCTAACCAAGCACACAAACTGCAAGTTTCACTGCTATTTAAATTATGAGCAAAATAACCACGAAGCACACAGAGCATTAATTCATTCGGGGAGCAAGCCACACTCTAATCTGTGCTTTGCAAAATTAACAGTGAAATGGTCAGTATGTCTAGAATTCCTTGTGAAATTTATTATAGTTATTGATTACCATGTCCAAACAGTGAACAAATTAAACAGAATCTCAGGACACTTTTAATCTAAAATCTTTCTTACCACTGTAGATACTCCAATTCAAAATATATAAACTAAGTAGCGTCATGTTGTTGTGCAGATGCAGAAGAGACAGGAAGGTCAGTTTAAGTATTGATATGAGGAAGATAGATTATATCTTTTATTTAGACGGTTGCATTTGCTAAAGGTTTTTGTATTTTCATGAATAGGCATTGCTTGTAGCTTATAGCTTAATTTACACATCCTAAAATTTCTGAATTAAAACGTGAGTGCAAACATATATTTTAAACTATGGAAATGACAGCAGTACTATTATTTTCCCAGTGAGCTTACAAATTCTGAAACATTTTTCTATTGTCAAGGGGGTAGAATTTATTAGCCAAAAGCACGAATCACATAGAATGTTAAGTCTAAAATTTTTATAGTTTTATATTATAGTGAAGTACAATACAGTGCCTTTGTCAGAATTTGATTGAGATGATTATGTTCAAGACAGTAAGCATTAGTCCTTTCCTGTGACATTGTACAAAATTCTTTCATTGTCTGCAGCATTGTGTTGCTTCCTGTGTAAATCAGACAGAATTGTTGCACCTGTTTTGAATTTTGAGTGACATAATTTAGCAATTTAATCATTATTTTTATTTGAATCATGCTTTGTAAAATTTTTTGTTGTTACTGGATTTTCTCCCTTCCTCTTTGAGCTCTCTTTGCTTGGTCCAGGGCCAATAGTAGCACACACTTAATTCAAACAGTCACTCACTTGGAACTGTATCTTCTGAAGTCACTTAAGACTCCCATTTATCTTAATTCTAGGGATTTATTAAACAAGTGTACCAACTCTGAATTTCACACATTTCTTATTGAAAGTTGCCAAGGTGTTACACTTGCAGCATCCCTGTCACTTGGTTGAAGGAGGCAGTAGTTTTGTTCACTGTTGGACTTGTCCTCTAGATCCCAGCTAGTTCCTCTGTGCTATTGAGGACAAGGCCCCAGTACTCTTATTTTGGACATAGTGGAGAGCTCACTGATTCAAATAGGTCTTCTCCATCATGAGGAATGTTTTCAAAACATGTCTCTGAGTAATGGAAGAAGCTGTAAGTTGTAATGGTTTGCAGGAGTGTCATTTCGGATAGTGGCAAGTTAGAAAAATCATTAAGTATGAGAATGTAGGTTTTACCAATATTTGCTTGACTTTCACAGGCTGCTGCACACCAAGGTAAACAAAAGTCATCAAATGTAATTAACTTTCCACCAAAGAGGAAGTGTGACTGTTTTCTGCTGGTTCATTAGAAAATGTAGCAGAATTTGGCAGAATATAATCTCTTCAAATTGTAACATGTGTTGAAAACCTTTAAAGATCAAAAATACAATTTTGTACAATGCTATCTATGTACCTCACTTAGACTATTTCTGCCTGGTTTTAAAACATTCACTGCAAAAGTAAATTTTCACCACACTGGCCTATTCATAGTGTTTTCTCAATATATGCCTGTAAAAGGAGATGAGACTATGGGTGAACAATCATCAAAAAGTTTTGGGATTGTAATGAAAATGTTGTAATCACTGGGATGAATCTCTGTTAGGGAATTTCTGCAAAATAGCTCCTCAATAGGAGTATCCCTTGTATCAACAGTATGGAGCCTATAGTACTCATGTTATTGTGTTTTTCTTTTAAGACAAAAGATATTAATATAGAGTGTTTTTCTACACTGAAACTCAGTATTCAGTGATTGCAGTGTTGGCACTTTGTAATAAATAAGTGGATTTGGGGTTGCAGTTTGGCACTCGGTCTCTAAAAGTTTTGCCATCACTGTCATAAATTTATGGAACTTATATGGCTCTGTAGTTATTATCTCCATCAGTCCCATTTTCACATATGCCAAATTTGAAATTCAGAATGGGGAATATTCTAGGATAGTCCATTCTCAGGGCTGGAACAAGAACTAGTCACCTGGCTCCTAGTTTAATAATCTTTGACAATTTCTCACTCTTTCTCTTTCTCTTTTTTCCCATTTCAGTCGAAATTCTGAACAGCAGAGTTACGGAGTATCGGAATCTCTCCATGAGAACCTCCATATGGCCTTTCTATATATATTCTCATATGTCCTCTTCTAGCAACACAACAATAAGCATGGTGCAGTCAATATACTAAACGAAGTGAACATGCCAGCCAACAAATCCAACTAAAAACAAAGCAGTAAAGTCAATGGATATGTTAAAACCCAATCAAAAAATATATCTTATTTGAATTATTAGGTAGAACATGATCATAAAATTTAGTGATATTTTTCCTGTAACTCTAATACTTAGTGAATTTCCACATTTTGTCATTGGCTTACTGTACATTTTGGTGGCTAAATGTTCATCTGTTTTTGAAGTGTTACCTTACTATATTGTTTACAGGACAGTCTATTGAATTGATTTAGAATGTAATAGATATATTCAGTACCATTTTCCCCAGAGAGGTATTGTATTGGGTTGAGCTGTGTTTAGTTTTCACATACTATAGTGTTTTGCTGTATTTGTGTGGTGTTTAATACAATTTGATATGTTATTAGTAGGGAACAGAAGTTTTTCTGCTTTAAAAACATAGCAAGTTCATGTTAATATACTCTCTTTAGAATATTTCTGTAGGTTTCCTGGGGCACACATTTACAATGCCTCACTTTTGAGTGTGCACAGAACCTGTTCATAAACATGCATGTGTATACTTTGTATTTACAGATCTAACCTTGTCTAATTCAATGAAGTTACTAGATTTTTTTCAAAAGAGAAATAACTAGCCACAGTAAGTAGGGAATTTCTTAAAACATTAATCCCTAATACACTCCTTTTAAATAGCTTGAAAAAGAATTCACTTTCTAATGATTTTTTTCAGCATTTCTACTAAAAATTATGTAAAGTAACCATCACATGTTTTTGATTTTCAAGAATCCTATCTCCTAGTTTGAGTGTCTAAAATTGAACCATTTGTGATCTCTACTTGAGAAAGTGGTACTTGTGGTTTTAAAGGTATGCTAATTTTAGGTTATAAATCAAACAGAGAAATGGAAGAGGTAGAGATAGTTTTTACATATTGGCAGAAAGTGTGTAAAACCATTGCAGTGTAACCTTTTACACAAGTGCTGTTTTCCAAATGCAAATGGCTCTAGCTCTTAGACTATTCTTTAAATAATAAGATGCAATCTAGCACAAGTCTGTCACGGTGGGAGAGAATTGGTTCCAAAGAGGCCTTTCTTCGTCAAATGGACAATCTTCTCTGTTGATCACAGAGGGAGCCTGAGTATAGGTTTGGGGAAATGGCAGGGATGGGAGTGGAGGGAGCAGGAAGGAATTTAAAATTACCTCTTGGTTTATGCAAAGGAACTGGTAAAGATGTCTGCACTTGTCTTGAACTTCAGTTTAACCGAATTGCCAATTTCGTTAAACACTTCAGTGAAGGAGCAAGTGCCTGTGATACATGACAAGCACCTCCCTGCACAAACTTCAATAGCAGACTGTTTTGCATCAAAACTAAGCCTTTTTTTCCCCTTGTTTAGATTCATTTGCCTTTAAATCTGTTTCTAATACGGTAGATTAGTACTCTTTGGTTGATATAGAGTGACTGTATTAAACAAAGGTGAGCTGAATTCTCATTAATACTTATGAAATAATTTTACACGAGTAAAATAGTTAATTTCTGGGCTCTATATTACATTTCCATTCTACTAAATTATTGTACAGTGGTAGAAATACAATACTTCATTCAAATTTAGATTTATATTTTCTACTAAATGCATGTTCTCTCACTGGAAAATGTAAAACCATCAAATTTGATATAGAGAAAAGGGTTGTTTTTCTCCTTCCTGAAAATGACCAACAAAGAGAAAATCTGACTTCGGATACTTTAAGCTAATGCTGTGTTTGAATTGCAAAACAATGGAACTAGCCAAAACTTTTTGTAGTTGATAAAACTGAAACTTAAGAGCATGTGACTTCCCCAAATTTCAGTAGCCATTGTGAGACCCAGAATCATCTCCAGACTCCAATTGTAAATCTTTTTTATTATGTTCATCAGAGCATTTGAGACTCTATCTCGAAGCAGATCACTTTGGCTCAGAATACAAAAGAGTAACATTATCTCCAGTAGTTGGTATCCTATCGGTTGTAATTATCAATCCAAATTCTGCACAACTGTGATTTCTAAAGTCTTACTTGTATTGAGCCACTGTCATTTATAGCAGGGTTGCCTGCAGTTAGAGATTAGAATTTGTTCTTTAACCTGGAACTCTTCGAACCACTTGTTTTCTCTTTCCTGACATCTTAACATTGCTAGAGAAGAAACTAGGGTATGCCTTTCAGAGATGCCTTGTGTATGGAGCTGAGTTTTGTATAATCAGTGTGCTTCTCCTGAAGGGCAGATCTGACTACATGAATCCAGGAAGGATGCACCTGAGCTAGTCTTAGATGTATTCCTTAATGGAGATGGGAACATTTTTTTGTGTACAAAATGAACTTTTGTGCGTAGTTTGACATTTTTGATGCAACATACTATCTCATTTAGCTTTTTAAATTTTTGACAAAGATGTACATAGACCTAAAGTACAGCTATTTTCATGTTGCTGTAAGCACTGGAAGACTAATAATGACTTATTTTTAGTAAATTGACTGAGGAATATTCAGGGTAGTTGTATTTTGAGTGCCACCATTTTCTACATTGTTGGCATTCTAAAAGTTGCTATATAAGTGAATTTAGGAAAGAAAGCTGAAAGCTCCAAAGTTTTGATTATATTCAACAGTTTTGAGAAAATGAAATTTTAAGATAACACTCTTTAGTTGTGCAATGACTTATTCAAATGATCTTTATTCAAGAAAAGACACGATTGATAAGTCATTAGACTATAAATTTCCAGTTCAAAAGAGAAGTCACAAAATAATCAGTGACTCTAAACAAAAATTTACTGGATTAATTGTGTATATAAAATTCTAATCACTTATAATTCTTACTTAACATTTTATAATCTTTGTATTTTATAAGGCCTCTATTTTTATTTATCCAAAATTATTGCTTTTCTTCATGTTTCTCAGCCTTTTGTGAAGATACGCAAGAGTGCTGAAACTTGAGTAAGACGGGTATTATATTCTGAAAAGTAATCTAAAAGTTATCTTTTAAGAGTGTTTTAATAGTATCAATTTTTTACAAAAAATACTAAGTGATCATTATGAAAGTGTATTTTAAAAAGGATTAAGATTAAAATAAGATAAATGGATTCATAAAAATTGCTATATACATACAGTATTTACTTTTGCAATTGGAGCATGATTCCACAACAAGCTGTTGCATTTCATTTCACTTTTCTAGGTTAGACTTTAATTTATAGCTAATCCTAAAAGCCATCTTCCCCCTATTCCATCGAGTCATCTCCGTCGGTTTTTGATCATGCTAAAAGCGCTTTGATCTGGCCATAAGTGTTGTCGTACAATGCCAGCCAGAAGCCTCAGCTCACCGGCTCTGCAATTTGAGAAGATGCTAGTACCTCCTTCCTGCCATCAGAGGGACTGAATGAAATTACACCTTGCAGCAGTTTTTAATGGCCGGACAAGTAAGGAGCAACATTTATGGTTTTTCAAGAGAAGAGGGGAGATTCCGGGCTTCTGTGAATATTGTTTGGCCCTTTTTCTCCCTTTTTGGGTTCAATGCCACAAGTTTTCTGAGTTCTTTTAGTCAATATGGTGAACAGTCATACACAGAATGATTAGAAACTGAAGTACTCATTCTTATTTCTCACTCATTTTACATACATTGAAGTGGAAATATAGAAAATGTATGGGGGGAATCTGATTTTCCAAATTCTGCTTAAGAATAGCGATGGTGGCCTAATTTTGTCAGTGCCTGCCGAAGGCAATAAAATAATCAGCATGGAAAAGAGCACACCAAAACTTTTTGCCAATGTATTTGATAGCCTAATCAAATTGTAAATATAACTACAAATCTAAAGTCAGAGTACCAACTCACTGAGCGGTGCCATCTTTTCATTTTTCTTATTCTTAGTTTTTAAGGTTTTTATTTTGTGACTTTTTATATCTCTAAGTAACTAATGAATTTGAGAATTTAATTTTGAAGGAGAGTTAGAGAAAGTGTATAAGTTTTATTTTACTACATATATTCAGCCAACCTAGATAGATTCTAAACACTAAAGCATGGCAGATATAGGTGACAGACTGTAACTACTCTCTACAGTTCACAGTGTAAGAACAAATTTAACTTTATACTAAAATAATAATTGTTAACTAACAATATTAAGTTGTTGCTTTGGCAACAAAACTACAACATGGCTACCTTTAGACACTCATGCGTGCTTGTGTGGAAATTTTATTTGTAAACTATCTGTGATTTGTGACACTATAAGCATATAGATGATATAGCTCAAAACTCAGAAAACAGATATGGTTGAATATTATTTTAATCCCTAAGTCACATGTGAAAACTGAATTTATGTCCTGTGACTTTTTGGTCAAAAAGTTTACAACACGTGGATTCTAGAAGCAGGTTTTATAGTTTGTAGACTTTGTTGTGCGGATGGGGTTATTCCACGGTATTTTGAGCTTCAAAACACAACATAATGAGAGTGTATATCTATATATATATTCATTGACTTTTTCATAGCTTTGTTTATTGAAAATTACTCTTTATATGACATATCTATAGTGACAAAATTTCTTTTTTTCTGAAATTATGCATACAAATATGCATGAGGTTTGAAACATAATTAAATATATTTTGAAATCAATTCATAGTTGCAAACGATACTGTGGAATGGCCCCTGCACAGTGTTTAAGAAGATGCTGCAGTTACCTGATTGTCAAAGTTAGGGTGCGAGTGTGTAAGACACACCTTTTTGCACATATGTACATAGTCCATGAAACCAGTCCTTGGATCTTTTTTTAAATACAAGAAGACTGTGATAATAGTGAAAAAGTCAGTAAGAGCAAGCTATTCCTAAGGCTTTGAAAAGAAGGGTTTCTTTCCATTTTCTCTAAGACATATAAAGCACAGTGTTGCTTTGCTGTTGTGGAGGCTTTCCTAGTTAGCTACATCTTACTGGAAGAGAAAACTCGTGACAGGTAAACAGGTCAATGTTAGCTAACATCACTGAACAATAGTAGAAGTACTTCTTTTAGTAAGACCACTAGGAAAGATTGTTTGCTTTTTTAAGTGAATTCCCACTTTACACACACACACACACACACACACACACACACACACACACCAGATGGGTTATCACAGAGGTTTTCTTTTTTTCAGTGACTACAAGCAGTGAAATACCCTGTAAATTGCAAGATAGCTATTTTCATTATGATCAATTCAGATTTCATCTTTTCACAGAATTATTGTTATATGATATCAGTTAGCATGTATGTCAATTGATATGGATTGAAGTGACATTTAAAATATTAATGTTGACTTTTATCCCTACTTTAACATCCAGAAGCCCAAAACAAATTGACAACCTTTGCAAGATTTTATTTCCTAGTTAAATGTGACCAGTGTAGGGCAGTTTGCTCCCTTCAAGGAAAGAAACATGCTCCTGGCACAACTTTAGTAGCAGCTTTATTTACACTGTACATGTTCAATGGGAGCTGTTTTCTGACCTCCCTTTACCAGATTACAAAGTACTACTCCATGTGCCACTTGAGCCTCCCAATGTTTTCTTTAAATAAAACTGAAGAGAACCAGCCAAAATCTTACATAATTCAGAAGTTGGAAGGGAATACTTCAGTCTGACTGCCTCCACCAGTTTTAGCTCCACACTGCCTACAGATAGCCATGGAACTTTCTTGTCCCCAAGCAATGAGGCCTAAGAAGGGTTGAGGTTGGAAAGCTTAAGAGATAGATCACCACAGGTACTTGGAGTCCTTCACAACTTGAGGCACATAGCTCTCACCCTGGAAAAGGACAGCATTCTGGTGTTAGAAGAGCTGGTATTGGGACATTGCTACCTATTTTGCTAGCTCTATCAGACAGCACCATGGTGCTGGAGGCTGGCTCAGTGATAGTGTGTTTGCTACCATGTGAGGCTCTAGTTACATTCCCAGAGAGACAGATAGACAGGGCCAGAAAGCAACCCAAGCCTTATCGTTGTCCAATAACTCAGGGCCATTTGGCTAGAAAGATTTTCTTGCATCAGCTCATAAACACTGTGTTCATGATACAATGAACAGCCTGACAATCTGACCAGAATTTCCATTGATATAAACTGTAAACATTCTTTCATTGTGTAGTGAAGAACTCCTAACTTCAACCTTATCACCATCATCATTTTCCAATTTAACCCATTTCCTTGTGTTGAGAATCCCTGGTGAATCTGTAAGCCAGGGGAAAAAACGTATTTTCATAAGGTTAGTAGAGATATGAGATTTGTTTTGTTTTGAAGTGCTAAAAATTGCACGTAGGGCCTCACGCGTGCTAGGGGAGTGCTTTACCACTGAGTCACATTCCCAGCCCAAGATGTGAGATTTTAAGCCAACAAGAATCATTAACAAAATAGTAGGAGTGACAGCCCTTGGCTCTCACTCTTTGAAACCTAACATATTCTGATGAGGCCATAATTCATATGTATCACTTCTGGGTGGCTCTGAAGCACCAGTGATACATGCATGACTGTCCATTGCATGGCATGGGACAGTCCTATCAGGAGGTACAAGCCAGAGGAAACATGTAAACTTAGTGACTGTGTTTAAAGAAGTAAGAGAAGTCAGGGCGTGCAGTATAACAAAGACATGTACTTGAGACCAAAAAAAGATTTATTAAGATTTAGCTTGGCTAATTCATATAGTTTCCAGCTCCTCAATTTATCCCTGCCTATAGGGAATTTCTTATTAATATTAAAAGCTGGAGTATTACAAGAAACTTTATCTTTATATAGAATTTTTCCTTGATTATTATATACCTAAAATAAATATATATCACTATGAAATAAGTTACAACTCTTTGTAGAAAATTTTAAAAAATCTTACTAGCCATCTACATCATGTTATTTTTAAAAAATACTCTTGTAACAACACCTAAAGTAACACAACTATTATATATATGCTTTTTCCTCCCAAACATACAATTTAAAGATTTATCTGTCATAGAACTGCTTCAATCCAAAGCTTTATTTCTATATAAAGATGTCATTTGTTAGTGATATAAACCAAATAATTTTGTTGCTGTATCTTTTGTGTCTAGTGGTTGAAGGAATGATATAATCAGCACATCATTAGATCCTGGAAATGCCCTTTTCAGAAATGTTTTCTTTTCTTTTTATTGTTGCTGCTTTAATTCATAGAAAATGAGCCATTTGTTTCCAAATTCAAGAATTTAAATTTTATATATATATTTTTATTTTATTTTATTTTATTTTTTTGGTTTGAGGCTGGGTCTCTCTGTGTTGTTCAGGATGGTGTGAAATTCCTGGGTTCAAACAATCCTCCCTCTGGATTAGTTGGGTCTACAGGTATGTGCTGCTATGCCTAGCTATAAATTAAGATTTTTTTTTAAATAAAAGGGTTATTTCTAAATCTACTCTTTAAGAGTTAACTGTATTCACTCATATAATAACAATCTGGAATATAGAAAATTGAGGGACTATTTTGAGAAGAAAATCTATTTAAAAATACTTACAATAAATGCTTAACCCCCTAAAAATATGGATTTAAATAATGATCAGAATATTTTTCAAATAAAAAATGTTCCCGTTATATCATATTTTGCCTACAGAGTTCAATAGCTCATTCCCTCAACTGTAGATGTGTTGACTTTTGTTTTATTTTTTGCAAGTTCTAGTGGTGTGGTGCCTATCTGTGTTTAGAAGTGTGCATTTTGTAACTCATTTTAGTATGCTACTTTTATGTTTAATTTTGTTCTTTTAATAAAGTATATAAACTTCATGATTCTGTCTTTTTTATTACTCCGTATTCATACATTAGGAGGTCACTTAGAAGCTATTCATGTCCTAGCATATTAACCCTAATATTTTGTAATTCTAATATAAAATTTAAATTTGTGGTTTGCCCAGTGTTATATTTCATAAACAGAGTAAGTTTATTTCCACATACTTCCAGAATTTTGAATTATGTAAATAATATATCTTTTGTGTTAGATGTATTACTCATATAAGACTGAAGTTACTGACACAAGAAAGACACTTGTATTTTAGTAAAAGAAAACTAAGAATATGGAGATCATGCTTAACTAGTTTCTGTTGTGCCTGAGAAATCTGAAGGCATAGTCTAAGATATGTGATCAGAAGTTTGTGGGTACCAGATACTCATTTCCATCCTGCATCTTCAGTGTTATGCATGAAACCAGGGTTGTTCATTTCATCCTTTTCCCGATGGGCATGATAGTGAGGTGCATACATTTTTCCATTAAAAAGTTTTGACACTTAAAATTGCTTATCACAAACAAAAAGGACAGGAATGAAAGTATAATCATTTTTGTTCTTTAAGAAAACAAATGTAACTTGATAAGGCTTTATTCTGTCACATTTCTAAACCCTTCAGACAGTGCAATCCAGAATTTCTCTGTATTGATCACCCTTCTGTAGTCAAGCTGACAAGTGCTACCTGAAAAGCATTTGGGTCAGAGGTTGTGGCAAAATATTATTCACCTATCTATAACAGTGATGCGTTCAGAGAAGAGGGTGGGCACTTGTCCAGTGTCAGATATACCAGATGGATGTCCCTTGCCCTCTGTGCCCTATTTTCCTACTTCTGATGTGGTTCCCACATTGGCATTTCTTGATAAGCTAACTATAATCAAAGCCAACTTTCATGTGTTGTGTGTTTCTTTGAGCCTGATAATCCTAGCATTAAAACCAGTTCAGTGTATAGACATGTACAAGAAGTCTTTGTACTCTTCAGATTTCTGTTTGTCTCTCTGTTTGAAGCTGCTCAATGGTAAGGAAGAAATCCAGGCAGGCTTTCCTATCCCTGGTCAAAATGGAGTCTTGGTGTTTTTATTTGTAAGGAGAAATGTAACAAAACCATACGTAAACTGGTTGGTCTTGGGAACTTTTCAGCTTCTCTTCAGGGCTTCTTTCTAAGGCCCTCCTTTATTCATTCCTCATGGTGGCCTTTAGCCCTCAAAGAGCCCTACAGTAGCAATTTGTCAGGCTGGCGTCCTCAGGTAGATCTCTACTTCCGCACTTCACAAGTTTCCTTTTGGGCATCTCAAGCTAAGGAAGAGCAGCTCACAGCTGAGATTTGAAAGGAAAAAAATCTAACTCTAGTGTCAAAGAATGGCAATGTTTACTGTGCTGCCTCTCTTGGAAGTATGTATTTAACAAGGCATGACTCTCCAGTGGTACACATCCAATCCAGGTGCACACATGCCCAGGGTTGGTAGCATGTTAAACATGATCATTCCATAATGCTGGAGGGTTAGGAGATGTGTTTTATTGAAACCATAGTCTAGGCATTAAATCTCAGTGTATAGGAGCAGTGATAAAATTCCTACAGATGAGCACTGCAATCATTTATCACCAAAAGAAGGCCAAAAATCGAAGATTTATAATTGTGTAATTGTCAAAAAAGTCGTGAAATAATGATGAACAATAGATAGTGACCATCCCCAAATTCCATGGACCAGAATTCATTCCCATGGTCAGCATCTGAAATAAGCATGACACAGTGAAAGATCCATACACCATCATATTTCTGGGGCAATCTAAAACCTACAAAGTGTGAGGAAAAACTAAGGTGAATGTTTAAATATTTTAATTACAGTAAAAAAGACTCACTGCCATTAACCCTCAAAATAATTTCTCTCAGCTTGAGCATACTTATCCCAGTGTTTTTGCCACTCTCTGAAGCACTTCTGAAAGTCTGTATTCATGAGGGTTTTTAGTTGCACTATCCTTGTCACCCTGATGCCCTGAATGAATGTCAAAAGCTTATTTTTCATGGTCATTTTGACTTTGGGGAAGAGCCGGAAGTCATGGGGCCAGAGCCAGTGAATAAGGCGGATGAAAACAGAGTCCTGCTTTTACAAGCCTGCCTTTCTGTGGGATGGTATGTGGCAGCAGCCTTCACTGCATCTTTAATTACACCTCATAAAGACAAAAAAAAAGAACTTTTCAGAACTGCTTCAGAAAGGAACAGGAACCATGGGATAAGTGTATTCAGAGTGAGAGGGAGTATTTTGAGGGGGATTAATAACACTATGCCTTTTAATGTAACAAATTTTTAAATTGTAAACTTGCACTATGTATTGAAGTCACACCTGGTACACTTGCTGATATTCAACAGATGAACACACATACTCTGATTTTTAAAAATTTGGCCCTTTGCTGTACCAGAAATTTGTATTTAAATGAGTTCTCCTACATTTTCCTTTTACTAATTAGTTGAACACTTCTCCCCTAAGCAGGACAGTGAGCTTCTGGGAAATAAAAGTGAAGGGCTCTAAGCACAGGACATTAGATAGAAGGGTCTGCCACTGGGACACAGGGTAGTGTTTATGAGAGGTGCAGATGAACTGATTCTCGTCTATACAAACAAATCCCCAAAGCAGAAGCAGAAGATTCTGAAGTAGATGCAGCAATCCACATAAGACAGCAATTCTGGTCAGATTAGGCTAGCACTTCTGTGATAGGCATGGGAGCAGAGCACAATGCAGGGACAGCTAAGGCACCCAGTGCAAGGTACAGTTTCCCTGATGAGAGGAGGAGGCGTTACCATGTAAGCGACACAAAGTGCTGCTTTCATGTATAACCTCAAAGAGTGAGAGAGGTGAAAAATCATAGCGTAACAGAGGGTGGAGAACAGAAACCACCCACTAAACAAGACTGTGTTCACTAAAACTGGATCTGAGGGAGGGGGAAAGGAATCTGAGTGGTCTATCATCAGCAAGCTCCCAGAGAGCTCATGGTTACACAAGATGATGAACAACACATGGAGCATCAGCACGGTTCTCAAGAAGAGAAGGGGGGACTGGGGGTAACTTAGTGGTCAAAGTGTCTGCCTGGCAAGTGCAAGGTCATGAGTTCAAACCCCAGTGCCAAAAACACGAAAAGAGTGAGGAAGAATAAGATTGACACTGAGGTTTTGCCCTTAGCTGTCATGACTTTATTTTTTTTTTTAATTTTATTTAAGAGGAAAAAGAGAAAAACACAAAACAAAACAAAGCGGTGTAAGGGTACACGTTATACAGAACTACAAAAAAAAAAAAAAAAAAAAAAAAACAACAGTAAGAAATCACCTGTTAATAGATTACATATTAGCATCTTGGAAATAGTTGCTCAAATCACAGTATCAAAGAATACAAAGTGGACATTCAAACAGAGAGCCTTGTAAAACAGGTTGCTGCCACCTGCATAAGAGTCTCTGGTTGAGTAGATGTGAGGATTTCAGTTTCTTATTGGAAACTTATTAGTTTCCAGATAATTGATGATCATGACCTGGGGACCACACTTTGAGAACCAGTGATCTATAATGACCTTTGTATATGATGTCCTGCAATGAAATAACACAGTCAATAGGCTCCAATCTGGGTTCTCATAATAGAGAGTCCAATCCGTTTTATTTCCGTCTGATTGTTTTTCTGTGCTGCATTCTATCATGCCTGTTGTAGTCAGGAGTTGCAAGGAAAACAATTACATACAGGACACATAATTTATAGTATTCTTTATAATGGTCACAAAAGAAATCAAATACAGAGTGCAAGAAATCTGTGCACATGCTAACGACCCACAGAATCCAACCAATGGCCTGGATCCTATAGCTGAGGACCTGCAGCCCCTGTCAGTGTCCCCAACAAGTCCAAATGGAGGCCTACAGCCAACGACAATATGTCATGCAAGTCTGTATCATGGATCTGCACTGGGAAGGCCCACAGATCAGCAGTAGAATCTAGAAAGTCTATGCCAGCGGGGTGAATGATCTGTGCTACTAGGCTGAGGGTTTTGCACTGGAACCAAGAAGCGCTATTCGGGGCTAGGGATTTAGCTCAGTGGCATAAGCACCTGCCTTGCAAGCAGGCCGTCTTGAGTTCGATCCCCGGTACTGATAAAAAGTTTAAAAAAAAAAAAAAGAAGCAACATTCAAAATAAGGACCAGGGCTCTCTCAAAAAGTACCACAAACATCCTTGGCAACAACAAGATCTTGAGCTCCTCTGACAATGAGAACAGTTGATACAATGAGTATCAGGAAGCCAGTGCGACAAGCTTCTCCACATCTTCCCCTCCAGAGCCAGGAAGCAGTAAAGATCAGAGCTCCCCCAAAGGGAACTGCAGCCACTCTCAGTAATCACAATATTCTGAGCTCCTCTGACAATGAGAATAGCCAAATTCATATCAGGAAAGAAGCTCGACAAGCTCCTCCAGGAGAATCAACAGCTCCAAAAGAACCAACAGCTCCAAACAACTTTTCCTCTCCAGTTCTCATTTTCATGCTGGCAACAGTCCTCAGGTGGGCCAGCCAGACCCAGCACCATGCTGATTCAGTTCAGCTGGTGTTTAAGTTGACCATCAGTTTTCAATCCACTGTTAGTGCCCAGGAGGTTAGATTCACATGGAACCAAAAACATTGACTTTTTGAGGCTATGGACTGAGAAACATTTAAAGAAAGTGGTTTTCTGTGCTGTAGCTCCTTTGAAAGCTGTAAGAAATCTCATACTGAATTAGATTTTTGATCCATGTAGTTCAATTCCCTGTAGACTGCACAGCCTGTAAAGTACACAATGACCATCTCTAGCCAATCATCGCAAAGTGAACAAAACTTTATATTCAGCTCTAGATTTATAAAATCTTTCCTCTCAAACATGGGGCAACTCCATCCAGCTGTCCAGGCCATAAATTCTTCTCACTCTATCTCCCTTGCTGATACATATCAAATCTATTAAATATCAATTCTATCTCCAAATCACTTTCATTATCCTTACTATGCC